AAGCAACGCATGCTTGAGAATCGGCGCTTCATTCTCGTACTCTGGGCCAACCAGATCATCCTTCAACCCACTGGGATAGCTCTTAAGGTTCGTGACATATTTGCGGAAGACTTGACAACGTCCGAACCCTCGGTCAACCGAGCCCTTATTCAATACCAAAGCATCCTCGATATCGTAGCCAGAGTAACTCATAACTGCAACTGTAGCATTCTGCCCGGCGGGAAGTTGGTCGTATTTGGTCAATTCGATTGTCCGCGACTTGACCATTGGCTTCTGTGGGTACACCATGAGATAAAGAATGGAATCGATTCGCTGGAACTGATTCGAAGCAATAGCACCAATAGCTTGTTTACCCATGGCACATTGGTAGGTATTACGAGGCGATTGGTTGTGGTGGGGATAAGGAATGAGACCGGCCACAGCACCGAGCACAGTGAAGGGTTCGATCTCCAAATGGGTGGTCGCATCGTTGATGTCTTTCTCGTAGATGGAGATGTAGGAGTCATTTTCCTCATTCACATCAAGATATTCGACAAGACCCTGAGCAAGAAAATCGTCGAAAGACATGGTACCATCTCTCAGCTTCTTCAAATGATGCTGACGACACCGTGATTTGCCATCTTCCACGATGATGAGGGGTCGACAGATACGGCCATCGTCTGTGGCGATATGGACTGACCGCTGGTGGTGATTGATGTAGATACTGACGAACTCAGAGATACGACCCATGCGGCGGAGCCTGCGGAAGGAATTGAGGAAGTACTTGGGACGTCTGGTCATGGCAGTTGGTGTACCGTTGATTGAAATTGTGTAGGTCCCAGGTGCGTAAAGCTCTAGTCCACTGACAGTGGAAATATCTTCTGCGCCTAACATGAAGATCAAGTTGCGCACGGGACCTTCTTCGTCGTTGGTCGTAATGTGGGTCATGAGGGCCAAGTTTTTGACCAGACCACAAGCCTCTCCTTCGGGGGTATCCGCCGGGCACAGCATTCCAAATTGGGATGGCTGTAGTGCACGCGGACCACTGACCTTTCGGGTCTTCTCGAACTGACTGCTAATACGAGTCATCATGCCGAGTGCAGCAATGTAACTCAGTCTGCTCAGCACGTGAGTCACACCAGCGCGCTCCATGCGGAAACGCTTCAAGCTCCAGTTTCCAGTTGAAATGGCACGGTTCATTCCTTGAGTGATATGGTTACCATGCATACTCATCACACTCCAGGCATCAAATTGCTCAGCGCGATTGCGCTTATTCAAGACCTTGTCGATGTTCATCTTAATATCGAAGCAAAACTTCTTGAACAGATCTTCGAACAACAAAGCCAAAAGCTGACCGGCTAATTCCAGCCGCTTGTTTCCGAGATAATCGCGGTCGTCCACCATTGACGGATCGTTCTTGGCCATTAGAACACGACGGGCCATGTGAGCGACGTAGATAGCCTTTGGCCGGAAGTCCATATTCTTGACTTCAATGTGAGATATAATGACGGATGCGATGGCTTCCACAGCCTCTTGAACATGGGTCCTGCGATACGCTCCCTGCTTGCGGTTGATTTTGATACGAGAGCCAATCCACTCCAGGGCCTGCTGCTGCGTGAAAATGCCCAAGTTGATAGCCTCCTCGAAGTTGATGGCGAAATCATCCTGATAGAGACTATCAGAGCCAGCTACAAGCTGCAACATTTCCTTGTCGGTGTGGATTCCCATGGCTTTGAGCAGAACAACGATTGGAATATCTTCGCTGAGCACGTTGTGTTTCACGACGAGTCGATCCTTCTTGAGAACAATATAACTCTTTGATTTTCTCTCGTTTGAAGAACTGTAGAAAACATTTGGGTATTAGCATTCCAGAAGACGCGAGATGGCTAGACATTTACGAACCTGGTAACTGAAGCCTGCACGATCTCTTTCTTTGGGTCGGTTTCCACAATGATACGGTTCTTGCTAAGTTGCTCCTGGACAAGAATCACCTTTTCTGTTCCATTCACAATGAAATAACCACCAGGATCCAGTGGACATTCGTTAAGAACCGTCATCTGCGCGGGAGTCTTGTTTGCCAAAACACACTTGGAGCTGCGAAGCATCACGGGCATTCGACCAATCGAGACACCTTTCCGGTGAACCCTCTTCCGACCTCTCACATATTCGAAATCGATGAGAATGGGGGCTGCATAGGTAGTATCTCTAAGTCGGCACTCCTGCGGAGTAACATCCGACTCAAATTCAACCCCGGCGTCCTGCATCTCGTCTGCACGGCGGGGTGAGCCAACGTAGATATCCGTAAACTTGATGTAGAATTGATGGTCGACATCGCTGCGGATTATAGCGCTCGATTCGACGATCTTCTTCAGTTGTACCTCAACAAAGTAGTTGTATGAGTCAATGTGTTGCTTGACCAAACCTTTCACCTTCAAAAAAGCGGGGAGCAGGTTCCATTTATCCTTTGCCGTATCGATTGGGTCCGTAAGCGATTTGTTGTAGTAGAAAGGCTCTAGCAGCGCGTCAAACGGATCTCTTTCCTTGTAATCAGACTTGACCGGCTGCTCGGCCGCTTCGTTGAACTCGGTCGGGCGATGGGATTCTTTGGCGATGGATGAACGTTTTCTCTTCGAAGAATCAGCCGCAGAGGTAGCCGTAGCCTAATTCATCCGGAAGACCAAAATTAGTATGCCCATTCTGTGCTTGTATGTCTGAATAAAAAGTTTTGTTACCTCCGAGGGGCGCCGGCCCTGGGCGGTCGCAGAAGCCTGCGACTTCTTGCGAGGCGGCATGGTGACTAAACAGCTGGATTTTGGAAGAGACTTGCTCCGCGATCTCAAGCCACGCAGATGTCAGGGTATCAAGAAATGTGGGTGCGCATTCGCCAGTGTCAAGCAGCGTGGAGGGGAAACGGCCTTCTCACAAAATTTGGCTTATCTCATCGTCAGCTATCCACATCGGGATTAGCGTTAATGCCTGAGGCCACAATATCTTTTGGCAGTGATGAAATGACAACGCAGCCTGTCATTCTGAGAGTATATGTTGGTTGTCATATTACTCAATGTCGATTTGATGCGTAGTACCTAAGTAGTAGATGATCTATTGGTTCTGTATCGGAGCTGTAGCAGATTGAAGACTAAATTAGATATTTATCAGATTAGGAACAACAGACTCGGACTCGGAGGGTGTATACTCTGGTACTACCAGTTGCCTTATCCACAACCCCGGTTACTAGTAGTACGTACTACCACTCAAGAGTTAGTAGCTCTTCAAGTTAGTATGCTTTTAGTATATTCGTGACACGGGGATGACCACATCCAGGCTTCACCTGGGCACGCGTACTAGGAATTGTCTCAAAAAAAGGGAACGAGAAGAACCTCCTGTAATCCTTCAAGTTTGCATCTTGCAACAAGCACCCCCGATATGCCGCAGATATCATCTATGCTAGTAGTATCTACTAGTAGTAGGATACCCTGGCAGCCTGTCTTTTCTAAATGAAACTTGAACTCTCTTAAGTGCGAGACCCCACTCCCAAGGAAAATAGCCCCGCTACGGATTCGACATCCCATCCCACACGATGCGACCAGCCCTATCTACCTGGGCACTACAAAAACTTGTTTAGGGCTGTGTCCAGTGCAACTCCAGTTAAAAATTGCATCTGAGTGGGTCCCTGAGAGGCATCGCACATGCGTTTCCTTCAGACGTTTTTTGATGTCTGCACGGACGACCAGTTTAGAACCCACAGCCTGCACGGTCTTGCATGATCTACCTGGCCATGGCTGAGTGGAGATATGAGGCAAACCTACACCACCCGCGATGCCCGTTCTAGCTAGACTGCCTTTGAGTGGAGAGCAGCGATCACGGCGATTTATCGCAGAGACAAGGATGGCAATTGCGTCGCATCCTTGCTCTGTTTAAGGTGTCCCTGTGAACATGGGTTTCATTAGCTCTCAGGACGGGAAATACATATTAATAAAGAAACAGGGTTGCACGGTGGCCTTTGCTTTTGTACTATTCTGATTTGTTCGATACACCGTGCATTCGCCATTCGTGTCTCATTCCAAGGAGACTTGCGACTCGAGTTGGGACGAATTAGTCGGTGATGCCTGTGGCGAAAATATGGCTTGACCGCAACTCCTGGTAATTTTGAATTGCCACACTAGGCGTTGGGAGTGAACCGTACATAGTAATTGGAACAAAAAAAAGCCCCCGAGACTGAGGCCAGATCTAGGAATCACCCGGCACCTTGTACAGTGTTGAATCTCAGAAGATCCAATCACGATAGAGTGCCAGAAGTAGAATACATACGTACAGACCATGCGCAGCGAGGCCCCGCACCGAGAGCACTGACTACGACAGTTGATATGTAGGATTCCAATCCCAACAAAGAAGCGAAGCACACGTGGCCGAGGATGGAGTGAGCCCGGGTTGCGGCGACATTTTTCATCCTTTGTTCGATTTATGAAGATACTATCTTCGCCTAGGGGTGATCGCTTTAAGAAGAAAGGGAGTGCATGCGGGATGGATTTTCTAGGCCAAAGCTTAGAATCCAGACTACGGAGTACGCTCTCTGTAATAAGTCCACTTTATATCAGAGCGAGCTAAGGAGTACAGGGTACACAATGTCTTTCGCTGCATTGGAGAAGGCCACTGGAAAGAGTTGAATCTGTCAGCCCCCTCTTTCTTTCGGGCCCCAATACCAACGACCTGGGACAACGAACAAGGATGAAGCGATATCGGTACCGGAGTGTCTCATTGCGAATTGGTCGAGGCGCAAATTGCGTTGGGCATGAAAGGCGCCTCCTCATTCTTTGGCACTTATTTCGGGCCTAGGTTGAGAGGCGCCCACGCGCGCCCACGGGGAATCCTTCGGTGGTTACGGAGTACTCTCCACTTAAAACTTCGATAGTCTGCCTCTCGTCGGGGAGTCCAAATGAAGAGATGGATGTGTCATTTTTTCAGCACACTGAGATCATCACGTCACATCATCCGAGCGAGGGGTTCCCGCGACAAGCGTCGGATCACACGGACCCTGCACCACAGACGACAGATCTAGAATCCGCACTGTCCAGGTTAACTCGACTGGAGAAAATAAGAGGGGAAGCAAGAGAGGCGGAATGATTGGCGATCGCCGCTCCGATTGCCAGGAAGTGCCTCCATCCAGGCGACTGGGGTTCGTGCAGGATCTCCACATCATTGGTATGCTCGTCATTCGGTGGATCAGGGGCTCCAACCAACGCGATCAGCATCGGATGGCTTGTATCACGTTCACCGCTTCTCTCGCCAATTTCCCAGCCGTACTCGTAGTGTGTCCGTAGTATCGAGAACTGAGGGCTATTGGGGGAAGAGAGGGGTCGAGGGTCTTCCCGCGTGGCCATTGGATCTACCTAGGGTATTAAGTACTCCGTACCATGTACTACAATATGTACAGAGCGTCTGGAATATGAAGTCTCCAAATTTGTATGTCATATTGCTCCGTGGAGGAAAGAGAGAAAAAAGCAAAAACTGAAAAAAGTCCCCCCTCCTCTCACCCTCAACAAAAGAGAGAGAGAGAGAGAAAAGCAGTACTCTGTACTCTGTATTGCAGCCCCTTTCTTTGAATGGTGGATCCCACCAAATACTCAGTAGTCATTTTGATGGCTCAGCGGCGAAGTGAACCTTGGAAAGCGAGGGGCGCGAACCATTCCACGCGAGTTCTCTCCTTCCAAGTTAAAGTTAGGTGTTTGGCAGAGTATAATTAGTTAGTACGATTATAACAGTAAGCGCTCAGATACTCCGTAATCCGTAGTATGTTTCGCTTTGTGTACGGAGTACTCCCTCTCTGGTTCTGGGTCTGTGAGAGGACTCTGCCGATTTCCTCGCTAGGGCACGATCCAGGCACGCCGACTCCGTTCACTACTTTTAAAGGACGATCCGCTGTCACACCGGCGACACAGCACCACTCGGCGCGTCTCCACTCGCTCGAAACGAGACAGTGGCTTGTCAATTGGCGTGGGCAATTACTCCTGCAGATGCCACGCCGTGGCCAGCGCATCTCATTCTCTCCGCTCTTCCCTCTTCCCCCTTGCGGGCGCGGCGTGTGAGCAGTGAGCAGTGAGCACGATCATAGAACCCTAGCCCGGCGTAGAATCATGTCCATCATTCGACCATGGGAGCTGCCATGACTACCCCGGGCTGCTAGCCCCGAGCTGCACCCTGGTCGTACAACCGGCGCGGATACGCCAATCACCTGCGGGTCTCGATCGATTTCCGAGTAACGATGGCGATCATCTGCTGTGGTCGTCAAGTTTCGCACGGGTGTGGTGGTAGTATCGTAAATTGAATATAGTATAATATCAGTGATCCAACTGATGTAGACAGAATGTCATAGGGTATCTATGGTATCCATATCTATGGGGTGGGAAGGATGATAAGATATGTATGTGTTTGGGTTCTGGCATATTTTCTTTTCCCTCATCCGAGTTGGAAGACGGCTTCAAAGCCATTGCATTGATAATACTAGTACTAGTAGTCTAGTCAAGTCAAGCACGGAGGAGGAGAATCAGCTGAAGCCCTAAAAGAAACCCAGCAGGGCGTTCGTACGGCGATTGCCGAATAGGGTTGGCCTGGGTCTCCCCGCTCTTCTCGCTGCTCTGGAACACATCTTCTTCTTCCCAGCCTCTTCTCCCTTTCTTCTTTCCTCTTCCACTTCCACTTCCTCCGTGTACAACATTCTCCTTTCTGCTCTCTCTCTCCCCCTCCCTCCCTTTTTTTTTTTTTGGCAGCAACTCATTCGTTTGGTCCCCCCCCCCTCGTTGAACCTCGCGGTTTCGCTAAGTGGAGGCCTGTTGGGCGGTAGGCGTCTCCATCCCACTCTGCAACTCCCCTGCGGCTGATCTCCGCACCCTTTCCAGGAACACCACGAAGTTTTTTTTCCTTCTTCCTGCCTGAGCCACACAAAAATACTTAGATGCAGTTGCTGTCTTTGAACATCGACTCGTGAGAACTCTTGTGATTTAACCAGTTAGTCCTCTCGAGGCGTTCATTGTGTGAGTGCCCTCTTTTCGCGAGCGATCGTCGCGCCCACCAACCCCTCAGCCCCTCTCAACCTTCCCCCTTACTTGGAGAAACAACCTCCGACGAGCATCGTCACACACCGCCACCCCACGATTCCCGACCACCCCTATTACCTACCTAACTGCCGATAAGCGCGGGATATTCTATCAACCGTGTGGAGGCTGGTTGTTTGTTCGCTTGCCCAGCGGGCGCCTTAAAAGTTCCTCGGCGCTTGCCAACAATCTCGGAGAATTCACTTCGTGCTGACCGGTGTTGGAATCGTAGTTGGACTGCCTGGCTTCGTTGCCCATCATGGCCTTCAAGAATGGGCTGAGTGAACGCCTCGACGAGCTCCGATTCCCCTCCCCTCGATCCCCCCCATCGGAGTCCGCCTTCCCAGGCTATACGTCTTTATCGCCTGGCCATTCGAACTTGGCCCCCGGCTTCTCACGACCTAGCAGTGATGTCCGGGCCAACCTGCAGCGTCGTTTCACAACCGATTCCAGCAAGTTTTCGTCGTCATGGAACTATTTGAACCAGGGGAGTACTCCGATGCCAGACCCTCTCGACCTGTTATCTTCGGTAAGCCTAGAGATCTCGTTCTTATCTCCATAACTGCATTTGCCTCTGTTTGATGAAGGGTATATTTCTCCTTGATTCTTCAACCATATGATCAATATGATCAATATAAATGCGGGAAGGGAAATGATGAGGCGGGGTTCAGCTTGCAGTGAAGGAAAGGTCGAGTCTTCATACGGTGGAAGTGGCCACACGATCCTGAGCAGGTCCCCGCCAAATCACTCCCGAAGGAAAGTGATGGGTTGCACAACTGTTAAATGACGGGCGATATCGTCGATTCTTCTCATTTTGAGCACTTTTGTTCGCATGGCAAGCTCTACTCTCACTTCACCCTTCACCCTTCACCCCCTACCCCTCCTAACTTTACCTTCACACATCCCCCTCCCCACCTTCAACCTTCTCCATTTCATACCACAATTCCATATTCCTTATTCCTGATCCCTTATTCTTCCTCTATCATTTGACCAATTCGGGCAACTGCTACCTAGCCAAGTCTCATTCCGCTGGTGACCCACCGGGGACTCTGCTTGACCAGGCTGTGCTTGTTCCTTGCCGTCTTTCATCCCATGATTTTGATCTCCTCTCAAATCTTGCCTCACTACCATCTCTATCCTCACTCAAACATATACTCTTCTTCTGAGTCTGCGTTTCCCCTGATTTGTTGATTGAAGCCCACAGTTCTGACTGACCTTGGTATTCTCAATAGTTCGAGAAGAAGCGACAGCATATTGAGTATATGCGAGAACAGAAAAGACGTTTTGAAGAAGATATGAAATTGCTCGACATGCAGCACGAGAAAGAAAAGATTGAGATGGATCAGCTTGCTCGTGATCTGGCCAAGGCTGGTCTCGGCGGTGCAGCGAGCGAGCCCACTACCCCTCCCGAGTATCGGGAGCCGCCTGCTCAGACTGCGGTCTCCCGGCCTGGAAGATTCTCCAACACCAGTGTGACCTCTTCCCCTGGATTCTTCAATGTTTTCGCCCCATCTCCTCAGCTTACCTCCCCGCAACAACCCGTCGATCGGTTTGCAGGCCATTCGGTGCCTGGGTCTCGCCGCAACTCTGAAAAAGAGGAGTTCGTCATGGAGTCGAATTATCGACCAAGCAATGCGTAAGCCAAAGACCTACTTGCCCACTTATCAATCATTTGCTCAAATTCCCTTCCATCGTTCTTCTCCTCCCTCTTCTTCTGGGCTTGTACATGAAACTGAAACTGACGGAAATTTACAGAGTCCATCGTTTGTCGCTGCCTTCTAGCAACTACAATGGCCAGTACCGGCCAAATGTATCTGGTTATGGCAGCAACTCGGGTGTGAAAAATTCCTTTGCTGGAACAAAGCACTTGTTCCCGAGCGACGAGGAAAAGCCTTTCATGAGAGATGAAGATCGCTTGTCAACACCCGATATCAAGGGCTACATTCGGATGACTGACCCTGACGACAAATTCCCCACTCTCTCGCGCCGAGGGGGGTCCAACATTGTAAGTCCATATATCTCAGTCCCATCGAATTGCACTGAATTCAAGCTAACTGTCGTTGAAGTTGTCTGCTAATCCGGATGCTCTTGATCTGGCTGGCTCCCGCAACCCTGGCCCAGAAGCCCATCATTCATCTTTCCACAGTCGGCACCGCTCTGCCCATCAAAGCATGCCTAAGACTTTGACCAACTTCCGCCTGGACCATGGGCACAATGGCAACTTGACAAATGATGAGCAAGCGAACGGCTCTCAGCCTCGCCATGCCGCTCGTCATTCGCTTGGGGAAGGCTTTGTGTTCCCCAGTGAACGTAACAACGATGCCACGACTCCAGTTCCTTCGAACCGACCAGTTCCCCTCCAGTCATACTCTACCAATGACCTCCCCACGGTCAAAGGGAACGGCAACGGCTTCGACGCGGCTATCACCCCGCCCAATACTTATGCTGAGAACATCCATCACCAGCACCATTCCAGTATGGGACGAATCCCTACCGGCAATTCCAACTCGCGTTCTGCAAAAGGATCTCCCGAGTCTGAAAGCATTAAGGCTACTAATCAGCCCATCCTGCAAGCCAGTGCACCCCCATTTGGACCTCAGATTACTCCAGCCACGACGAATTCCGGCGTGCCTGGATACATTGCGTCTAATCCACTGCAATTCCCGATGCATGCAGGATATCCAACGCAGCCTTTCGTCAACCAGAGTGGGCAGGTTAACAATCAAGTCCCGACCATGGCCGCTGGAAACCCATATTTGACATACAACAACTTCACTGGTGGTTACCGTTTCAATGATACAAATGGCCGGGGCGGAGTTGGACAGCGTCGCCAGACTGAGAGCGACTCTAGCCAGCTAACTCGTTTTACCAATTTCCCTCTCGAGCACTACAAGGGTGAGCTGTATAGTCTCTGCAAAGACCAGCATGGCTGCAGATATCTGCAACGCAAGCTCGAGGAACGGAATCCCGAACACGTACAGCTGATTTTCAGCGAGACATACATGCATGTGATTGAACTGATGACTGGTGAGTATTGACACTAAAAGTACGGAAACAAACAGACTAATCAATTTCTAGATCCGTTCGGTAACTATCTTTGCCAGAAGCTCCTCGAGTTTTCAAATGATGAACAACGCACTGCGCTCATTGACAATGCTGCTCCTCAGCTTGTGAAGATAGCGCTTAACCAACATGGAACTCGTGCACTGCAGAAGATGATCGAGTTCATCTCGACCCCAGAACAGACTGTCACTGTGATCAAGGCTCTGGAAAGACATGTTGTCGAGCTTGTTCAAGATCTGAATGGCAACCATGTTATTCAGAAATGCCTTAATCGTCTATCTAAAAAGGATGCCGAGTTTATCTATCAGTCTGTTGGTGATCGTTGTGTCACTGTTGGCACCCATCGCCACGGATGCTGTGTTCTACAACGTTGCATCGACCATGCATCTGGTGACCAAAAGGATCGCCTGATTGGTCAAATCACTAAGAATGCTTACCAACTGGTTCAAGATCCCTTTGGCAACTATGTTGTCCAGTACATCCTGGATCTCGGTGACCCTTTCTACACCGGTCCCCTTTGCCAAACCTTTGCAGGCAATGTCCCGGCTCTGTCGAAACAGAAGTTTAGCTCTAATGTCATCGAGAAATGCTTGCGCACTGCTGATTCGGAAAATCGCCGTGCATTAATCGATGAAATGCTGAGTGGAAGCGAGCTGGAGAAGATGCTGCGCGACTCCTATGCCAACTATGTTGTGCAGACCGCGATGGAGTTTGCGGACCCCGAGACTCGCACCCGCATCATTGAGGCTGTCCGGCCTCTGGTCCATTCCATTCGCGGTACCCCCCATGGTCGCCGCATTGCTGGCAAGATTATGTCGGCCGAATCTTCAAGTCGTCCTAACAGCGGCCATGTCACTCCGAATGAGATCAGCAACACACCCAAGCAGTTGTTACAGAAACCGTTCGGATTTCAGCAAGGCCCAGTTCCTGCCTTCAATGGAACTACTGCCTTCAACGGCCAGAATGCTTTGCCGACCCCCGCACAAAGCTCATCGAATACTCCGCCCAGCGGCACAGCCGAAGGACCCATGTTCGGCTCCCCTGGCTCAGCACAAAACATCGGCGTTCAGAACCAGCTTTACGCCTACTACTAAACAGGGATTGTACAGATTTATTTGTGCTTGCATCCCCAAATGTACCCATATCTTACATGATGATACGATATTTTGATGATTTCACGGATTTTCTCACACGACTGTCATCAGAATGGGGCCTTAGTTGCATGATCTACTCGGTTGCAGCATCTTCTTTTAGCCCATTCATCTCTTTTTCGCCTGCATTTGCATACATCCCATGAAGCCGAAATGGCGCGATGCAGTCTGCATTGGAGCAGCTTAAGCTCCACCACTCCTCCCTTGCCCAACATTTGTATTTTTCCCATTCCCAGTTTCGTTGTCCCTTTCCTATTTTATTCTCATTTCTTATTTCCCCAATGGCACCTGCATGACCCGAGAAAGACTCCTGGCATTCGGATGGCTCCAGTTGTTCCCTGTGTCCCCTCGAACAACCGAATCTCTTCCATATTGCTCGGCCGCGAATGCGCATTGCAAGGGCCATTTCAATTCCCGTCCATGTGTTCACTCATCATTTTGCCCATTCCCTCCTGTAACTTGCGTTCTGATTTTCATATGCATCTCGTGTGCTGGTACGGGATCGAATACTACAAATGATGCCTTCTTCCTGCATAGGAGGAGTGGCATGTCTGTGGCGTTCTTGTGAATTTTATATCGTGGGGAATGACACAGAAACTGTTGGGATTTGCTGCACCTGGAATTTTATATGCTAGGAGTGGTGAGCTCATGGTATCTTGGGTGGTTCCTGTTGGCTTGATTTTCGGCCGCGATATTGAATTCTGCCCTACCTTTTACATTTTGCATGTTTGTAATTTAGTCCACGAAATCTATTCTTATCCAAGTTTTGTATTAATCAATTCCTAACTGTAGTACTCTTGTACTCTAGTCAATTTCGGACAAATGCCCAAATCCTTGCGTCCAAATTGTATGCAAGGCATAGCCTCCGACGCGACGCGAAAGCACGTGACCGAGTAGGGATCGGAGCTGCAGATCCAGGACTCCGCATATCTCGGCCAGCTGGGTCCTCTCGATTGACAACTCGAAGAAAGTGGCAAACCGGCACATATGCAGCCAGTCGATGTTGCGCGCTCATTGAGCGCTCAATGGCCATGCCGAGAAGTTCAGGCGCAGCAGCTTGCTACCTTGTTCAATGTAGGTGCTTTTCATATCCCCACAAACGATAGGTCGTTTGTGATGCGCTTGTAAAACAGCGTTGAAAAAGATATATGATTATGATTGACTTGTGTCCTATAGCCTCATCTTCCTAGCCCGCCGACCTTAGTTGTCCATGGGATTTCAGCAACTTGCAAATCCACAATTATCCGCGGAGTCCTCTCTACACTCGAAGTCCCGCACGCCGTTGTCCGAAGCAGCGAGTGCATCACTGGACGGCACCTTCTCACTAAGATTCTTTGGAACACACTTGAGGCCTTGGGTCAAAAGGACGAATGGGAGAAATTTGGAAAGGGACGGTGTGAGCATGTCAGTTCTCTCGCAGTATTGCTGGAGGAGTGCCTTGCAACGCGAACTCCGGAGAAACGAGGGAAATTTGTACTGGTGCTGGATGAGATTGATAGACAAAGAGAAGCACCGCCCACTCTACTGTCGGCATTGGCGCGACTTGGGGAAATTGTGAGTTCAGGGCCGAAAAAGGCTTGGGAGCGATGCAATACTGACAATTTTGATAGATTCCCTCGCTCTGCGTTGTTCTGGTCCTCAGCTCGACTCCTCGACCCATGTTTCTTCAGAGCATAGCAGTTCCGCATATCAGCTTCCCTCCGTACACACGCAAAGAGGCCATCGACATCCTCCTGGCCTCCCCAGTGCCCACTGTGGAAGGCTTGCCCGACGAAGCATCATATCATATCTACCCTCATTTTGTCTCTACCGTCTATGATACCCTGATTGGACCAACCGTTGGGTCCATCCCAACTTTCCGAGCCATCTGCCAGCGACTGTGGCCACAATTTGTGGCTCCCGTTGTTCAGGGCGAGGCAGCGCCTGGCGGGGGCACGGATTGGGACTTTGCGCGACTAGTAGTGAAGAACAGAGTACTTTTCCGCCATCAAGGAGAATCGGCTCTGGTGCATCGAATTGTTCCAGAGGAATCTGCCGCTTCAAGCAAAACAATTCGTACACAATTTGCACCCAAAGCAGCCTCTTCAGCCCTGCCTCACCTGCCATATTTCTCTACCTTAATCTTGACTTCGGCATACCTGGCATCTCACACTCCACAACGACTGGACACGATTTTTTTTCTCGAAATTCTCTTCTTCTTCGCTATCTGCTCGCAATAAACGCGCTCATCATCGGCGTCGTTTGAAAGTTCTTTCCCAAGCCCAGGCAGAGGAGCGACAAGCGGCCAATGATCCTTCAACGCCAAACAAAAAGGGCAAGCGATCGAAGACCCGAATCACGAAGTCTACTCTCTCGTCGGCCTTTGCAACATCCTCGGCCACTACTTCGGCCACTGGCGGCGGTGGAGGAATCACCGGTCCATCCACCATCCTCACAGCCCGGCCATTCCCATTAGAACGTCTTCTGGCCGTCTACCACGCCGTCGATCCGAACCCACCAGCAAATCCAATTCACACACCTGCAGTCTCGGACCAGATCTATGCCGAACTAGCTACGCTACGGCGGCTGCGTCTAGTGGTTCCAGCTTCGGGCCACCATGGCGGGGCCACCATGGGCAGTGGAAATACAAGCGCGGATGCAGGAGAGAAGTGGTGCGTCAATGTCTCGGGTGACTGGATCGGCGAATTGGCTAAGGGGATCGGTGTTGAAGTTGGAGAATGGCTCGCCGGTGGACTGGACTAGTTATTACTTCTCCGACTGAGGTTCATTCTGTTTACATTGCGCGGTGTTTACTTTCTTCATATCGGTTTAGTTTACATATCGCATCGCTGATGTCGATCATTTATATACCCGTTCTCTTTCCACTCTGTATACAGGTAGCCCCCGCGTTGTCAAATGACATCTTAATAGCACCCTAGTCCGCTACTTGATTTCCACCTTGGAAGTTACGAGGCATAATAAGGATGTTCGCTACTGGTAGAAACGATCTCTCTTCTGTACGAGGAGGATCTACGTGTCTTCCAAAATTGAAGTATGAAAACGACTTATTCGTAGGCATTTCTCATGCTTATCCACATTGCACATCAAGAGCTTAGTCCGACGGGGGCACGGCTCACTCTATCGATTTTTGTGAAACCCCCCTAACCAAAGAAACCGGGGATAGACAACCGGGTCGAGCGCAGAGGACGCCGGCGGGAAAAAAAGGAAAAGAGAAAAAGAAACACATTATATGCGAAAGAAAAAGATAGAAGTCGTTCAACCGATAACCTCCTCGGTCTCCTCGATGATTTCCTCCACAATCTCCTCGACCACGGCCTCGCCTTCGTCCGAGCCGCCGATGGGTGCATCCCGAGCGTGCTTGGGCGAGTCGGCGTCCTCGGGAAGACCAAAGACATCTTTCTCCTCTGCTTGAATCTCCTTCTCCCGGCGAATCCAGGCGACCCACTCGCTGAGAACACGCTTGCGTGTCTCGACAACTGCTGTGTTGGCAATATCGACGGCATACTTGTCCTCCTCGTCGAACTCCTTGGAGTACTCGCGCAGATTCTTGCGCACCTGCTTCTGCTCCTCCTTGCTGAGGAAGGTAGGGGGGCGCGGCCGCCAAAGGAACTGCTTGAACTTTTCGGTGGGGTTTTCGGAAAGAGTGTTTCCGGAGAAAGTGTGAAGGTTCCAGCCGTTTTCCATCTGATATATAGTTAGCACTCAAAAACTGCCGAATAGCAAAATATAGAGATAAAAAGATCATTTGAATCAAACTCAAGGGGGTAGCTTACTGAGTGAGTCCACACGCTAGCGCTGGTGACGACGTAGCGACCAGTAGAGTCCCACTGGACGTCGGTCACACCGTAGTGCTCAACAGTCTTCATCAACTGAAGGTTGGCAGCAAGATCCTTCTCGGCCTCAACCTTCTCACCCTCGAAGTCCATGTCGTAGAAGTCCAGGTCGAAGCTGGACTGGGAGTGGACAGTGGCGACGATAACAAAACGTCCCTTGGGCGACCAGTAGATACCGTTGCTGGTCTTCTTCTCGACAGTTCGCACAAGCTTGAAGTTGCCGGCGGTGCTGCCCTTCTTCTCCGTAGCAAAGAAGGAAACACCAGTCTTGGGGCCAACGGCGGCACCGGCAGGGGCCTCACCAGTAGTGATGAGAACGAAACGGGATCCATTGGGCTCCCAGGCGAAGTTGATAACAGTGTCCTTAAGACTGTCAACAACCTCAACGGGAACGCCCTTCTCCTTCACGCGGAAAATTTCGAGGTTGGTGGCCATGGACTTCTTGGACTTGGAGTGACGGTCGACCTTGACACAAACGTAGGCACCCTGGGATTGCCAGTGCAGCTTAACATCGGAGACATTGAACAGGTTACGGGTACGGACGATCTCCTTGGAGGGAACGCTCATCATAGCCACACGAGCAGGGTTGCTGCCAATCTCGGGGGTCCAGAAGCAGAGGAGCTGTTCGTACTGCTTGACACCCTCACGGGTGACGGTGGCGGGTGACCACTCGAAGTCGCTGACACCTTCAATCTTGACCGATGTACGGCCCACCAGGTTCATGTTGGGTACCTCGTAAATTGAGAGAGACTGACCCTGGAGCATACGGGCGACGTACTTCTCATCCGCAGACCACTTGAAAGCGGGCCACTGGACCTTCTTCTTGGGCGCAACATCCTCCTCACCGGTTGGAGGGGCGGCCAGATCGTGGGAGACAAAAGACCGGAGGGGCTTGCCAGACTCAATATCCCAGACGATGATGTTCTTTCCATCCTCCTCGTTGGTCAGAATGGGTTGGCCCTCCTCGACCTGGATCGGGCGAGCCGACCATGTCGTCAAGTAGCCCTCAAGAGGCGAGAATTCAATAAGTTGCACGAAGGGGTGGGGGAATTGCTTTTGCTTGGAGAAAGAGGCGCCGCCCCAAAGTTGGACACCCTGGGGGTGGACGGAGGCGAGGAAGGTACCCTTGGGGGGACCACTGGACGAAAAGTTGTGTCCAGTGTGCACGGTCGACGACGTTCTCGGGTGGGTTGGACTTGTTGTTCCAGAACACGCCCACCTTGTCGTTGCGGTAGAGGGCGAACTGATCGCGAGCGCTGGAGTCGCCCATCCAGGAGCGCAGGTGCTCCTTCTCCTTGAAAGGCTCAACCGGCGGGGCCTGGTACTCCTCATCGACACGACCTTCCCGACCATAGCGCTCGATATCCATCAACTTGTTCACGGCCAGAGTGTGCTTCTTGTCGAGGGGGACACCGTGGAGCTGCTTGACGGCGGCGACGGCTTGTTCGGGGGTTTCATACTCGACGAAAGCGAATCTGCAAAAGACCAAAAAAAAGGAAATCAATGATATGTTCATCCAAGTCGGTCAAATCGGCTAATATCTTCCTGTACGCACCCTTCGGACATGCCCTTGTCGCTAACGGGCATGAAAACAGCATCTTCGGAGGTGTTGCCAACGGTGTTGAGTTTTCTCAATAAGAACTTGATGAGCTTCTGTTTGCTGTCCTCGGGCACAACGGGGAGGCCATCGATAACGACGAATGTGTCCAGGCCCTCATCGGCTTTGACTTCGAATTGCGCTTTGAGATCTGCCCGCCAATAATTAGATTCCGAGAGGGGCATTGAAAGGGAAAGATTGTAGATTTGAATATTTGTGGGCACGCACCGGAGAAATCAATCTCTTCCTCCTCCTCTTCGTGGAGATCCTGCTCGGACAGTTGTTCGAAACTGGGCGCCATGTTGGGTCGTGGGATAGGGCGGCCGTTTAAAGTGTGCTAATCCGTGATCAAAATTTTGATGGGAACAAATCAGGCCCTGTGGGCTCTGTCGCTGTGGGTCACATGACCATGATGGTCATGTGACCTTGTGCTGCGCTGGGCGGGTACTGGCTGGCGCTTGCGGGGGTGTATGGACACTGCTAGTAATGCTAGTATAACTAACTATACCTAGCATTTTATATTTTATAAGGTGTTGATCTCTACTTAATCAATTGTTGTTCCTATCCCTTTTGTGGGTGTGTGCATCCTCTCCTCCACTATTTGTTCTATCCATTGTGGTTGTCTCGCACTTTGATCCTTTGATCCTCTTATCCGTTGCCTTTCTGCGCTTCTGCCGGCCCGTCCTTCCCCCGCCGCCCTTAAGCGCCAGTGCGACTATACCCACCACCTGACAAGTACCTGGTTGCGCCATCCAGACTCCCCCAAACGCCCAACCTACTGATTGGAGCTCTAAAGCTACGTTTCGTGACCGATTCGTATCTCAATCAACACTCTCCTCCATTCTACAGACGAGATCGACCGATCGACCGGCAGCATGTCGCGTATGTTACCTCGGTCTGCTTCCGGCTTCAACGACCGGCTTTCTCCAATCTGTTCATCCTTCTCTGACCTGGCGCAATAGTATCTTCCGAGCTGCGCGACCAGTACACGGAGATCATCGACTCCATTCTGGGCAAAAGCGACCTGAATACCATCTCCGAGAAGCGGATTCGCAAAGGGCTCCAGGATGCCGTCGGCTATGATCTCACTCCGCAAAAGGTCCGTTTTTTCGCGTTGCTCGCGTTGCTCCTTTTCAGCTGTGAAAACCTTGTTTCGATTGATCGCGGAGCTTCAGCTAACACCCTTGTATACTAGGTGGCGATCAAGGAGCTCATTATGCAACGATTCGACATATTCGCAGCGAAGAATGGCGTCGCGGAGTCACCCGAGGAGACCACAGCTAGCAATGGTCACCGGGGGGACTCTGCATCTGCAGTGCCTTCCCCTCCCCCCTTCCTCTTCTCCCGTGAAGCGACAAGCAGATAGCGAAGAGGCTTCCGATCTAAGTAGCGCCTCTCCCCCTCCCAAGAAGCGCAAGCCAGACACCGACGTTGACGCCGATGCTGAGTTTGCCGCGAAGCTACAGGCTGAAGAGAACCTGCGCGCAAGACCCACGAGAGGAGGAGGTAATCGACGTGCAGCTCCCACCAAGAAGAAGAGCAAGGCCAAGACCTCTAAGAGGGTCAAGGCGGAGGATGACTCCGATATCGAATCGGGATCAGACACAAAAAAGGAGGTCACTCGGACTGGCGGATTTCACGTAAGCCGGATTCAACTCACTTTGGTGTATTCTTGATATCTAACAGGCTCCTGTAGAAACCCCTTAACCTATCGCCTGCATTGTCTTCCCTGCTAGGTGGAGAGTTGACGGTTAGTGCTTTAGTATTCTCATTCCCCTCCTTTGCTAATATTTTGAATAGCTTTCTCGTCCCCAGACGGTTAAGAAGGTTTGGCAATACATTCGTGAGAACGAGCTGCAAGACCCTGCCGATCGCCGCCAGATTCGATGTGACGAACCGATGCGAGCTATCTTCAAGCAAGACCGAGTTCACATGTTTACGATGACCAAGATTCTCAATCAGAACTTGTATAACCCGGATGAATAATATTCGTCCCGGGATCGCATGACAAAGACTGCTGTCCATACAGTGTCTGGTCTCCATCTACCCTAACGAATCTCGTGTTTATTCTCCTACACATTCTCTCATTTGTTTTTGCGATGCATGGGGATGCTGGCGTGACAACCTTGTCTTTTTTTTCCTCTCTTTTTTTTGTCTGATAAGTCTTCTCTTGCCGCTATTGTCGGCGCTTTGTTTACCATTTGCTATCCAAGATTTTGCTATTTGCGCTCCAGCGGGAGTTGTTGCCGCCGCCGAGTGGTGATCATCGTTCAACATTGCATCTATGAACTTCTATCTCCTTTTTTGTCTTTTTGTCTTTTATTTTCCATGGTGAATAGGTGGTCGTAGCAATTCTTGTCATCTTTGAGGCCACAGAAAATATGCAGAAATTTCAATCGAAAACCGGTCTTTTCGTTGTTAGTAGTTGTAGAGAGAGAGTTATGGTTATAGTTATAGTTATACCATCCCCAGCTACTCTCAAAACGCCGCGGAAGATCAGTCAGCGCCGGGATCTCACTTTTTCCCCCATTCCCCCCCACCAACCCACAATCGCGCAGCGAACTCCCCCCAGATCTCAAGTCTTGGTCATTGTCACCTCATTTCTGCGTTAAATTCGATTCGAGGCTCTGCCATGGCTGACAACCCACCGACCGGTCCCGGCTCATCAAACCGCGGTCGCGGTAGTGGTCGCCGTCGCGGCCGCGGAGGGGCACCTCCCGGCCGCTCGGAGGCCCAACATAACTCAGATGGAGCTGGGAAGGGATCCAAATCTCGTGGTCGGGGCGGCAAAGCCCCTGGGGACCGCAAAAAGCAAAAAAGTGACGAGGGGCAGCAGAATAACGAGGCGCAACCAGCAGCTACCGCGACAGTGGGAACGAAACAAGTTGCCGCAGCCACAGATGATGCTGACGATGGAGAGGTTTGTTTTATCTGCGCCTCAGCGGTTGAGCATACGTCGGTTTCGCCTTGCAACCATCGCACTTGTCATATCTGTGCGCTCCGCCTTCGTGCGCTGTATAAAAATAAGGGTTGTGCTCACTGTCGGGTAAGTGGACCTTGCCTTGGCTCGGCGAGGACCCTTGGAGATCCTCATAGCCTCCCTTGACTGTCCATGGATCGTATTGGCTAACTTCATCTTACATATAGACCGAATCAGCCTTCGTGATCTTTACTGACGATCCCGTCCGACGTTTTGAGGAATTTGACAAGAACGATTTTGCTCGGACCGATGACAATCTTGGAATTCAATACGAAAAAGACGACATTTTTGAAGACACTGTGCTCTTATTACGGTACAACTGCCCTGATGAGGATTGCGATGTGGCCTGTTTGGGCTGGCCTGACTTGCATCGCCATGTTAAGAGCAAGCATGGTAAGGTGATGTGGTACGTACAGATTGGTCTCAATGTCGGTTTTGCTTCAGCTACTGATGAACCTGCAGTGATCTGTGTACTCGAAACAAAAAGGTTTTTACACACGAACATACCCTTTTTACCCCGGCAGAATTGCGGAAACATGAGAAGCACGGAGATGACAAACCAGGTGCAATCGACCAGAGTGGCTTCAAGGGACACCCGGAATGTGGTTTCTGTCGCCAGCGATTTTATGGCGACGACGAGCTTTATGCCCATTGCAGAGATAAGCACGAACGATGCCACATCTGTGACCGCCGCTCTTCACACCGGCAACAACAGTACTATGTCGATTATAATGCACTTGAGGGCCATTTCGAAAAAGATCATTTCTTGTGCCTTGATCCAGAATGTATGGAAAAGAAGTTCATGGTTTTCGAGTCTCAAATGGATCTGAAGGGACACCAGCTCGAGGCGCATCCGAATGGAGTTTCGAAGGATATTCGCCGCGATGCACGGTTGGTCGACCTCAGCGAATTTGACCTCCGCAGTCCTTACCAGGCACAGCAGCGGCAGCGCCGCGGAGCTGGTCGTGGCCGTGACCCCAATGCCGAGCCTCTGCCCGTGACGAGTGCCCAGCCACTGCGCCGGGATCAGTTGGCCTACCAGCGCCAAATGGAGATACAGAGCGCTCAATCAGTCTCAACGCGTAGCTTTGGTGGGCAGCTAACTCGCAATGAGACGCAAACCGTACGAGCTCCACCTCGATCAGCGGGCTCTACCCCGGGCCCGAATTCCTCGCGCTCTGCCCCTCCAACGGCCGAGCTCGAGAACTTAACTCTGGCTACTACTTCTGAGCCACTGAGCTCTCAAGACCAGGCACGTCGGCTGCGCCACACTGCCGTGATAGAACGGGCGTCGAATCTGCTGCACAATGATGCTACCAAGCTCGCCGAATTCCGCGGCAGAGTTTCCGGTTACCGTACATCATATATAACGGCCATAGAGTTGATTGATGCTTTCTTCTCGCTGTTTGATACCTCGAGCTCTGAATTAGGCAAGCTTATAAAGGAATTGGCCGAAATTTATGAAGAAGAATCAAAACGCAGCCACCTTCTACAGGCTTGGAACGACTGGCGTGCCATAAATGAGGACTATCCCGCTTTACCAGGACCTGGAGGGTTGTTGCCAGGCATGTCCCCCAGTACTGTGAACACTGGTGGCTCGCGTGTTTTACGACTCAAACATTCCACTGCCAAGTCTTCACGCTCGGCAGTTGGCAGAAGTGGTGCCATGCCATCGTCCTCCTCATCCGCAAATCCTTTCCCTCCCCTCTCTGCGGCTGCCGGACCTTCGTCTTCTCGCCGTAACGGTTCCGCCGCTTCCACTCCGTGGGCATCAGCTGCCCCTCCGATGCAGCTTGCTCGCCCCAGTGCCCCAAGCGCCCCCAGCCGTTCGTCCTCGTCAACTCCCACTAGCTCCGCACGCAAGCCTGCTCCCAGTGGAGCAGATGCTTTCCCTTCTCTCCCTGCTGCTGCGAAGCCCAATGTCATGATGGCTGGTAAGACCCGCGGCTACCGTCGCTGGGATGAGCACCGTGGTCCGGCTCCTACTGCCTGGGGATCTAACCCATCATCTGGTGCTGCTACTCCCGCCGAGCAATCAGAATTTGACTTTGAAGACGAGCAAGGCGACGGGAAAAAGGGCAAGAAGAAGAAGGGCAAGCAGACTCTTATACATTTCGGCTAATATAGAGCAGCTTTTCATCCTTATGTATGTACTCCAAAAAAGTCACCGTACAAATGTTAGCGAGTGTGTTTTTGCTCTGCAATAGCTGCTGGTCTGAATAAATTCAATATAATATCTATTGTGTTACAGGCTATAATGATCCGAATTCAGGTAAAATATAGTCCTGGAGGGAATAACCGATTCCACAAGCCATATCGATAGCTACCCATGGCCGAATAATCTGAAGCCGCTCAGGCGGGAAATACCGCCCTTGATCAAACTAGCACAACGCTTTCATTATCTGAGTTGGCCGATTCCGAATCTGATTAATAATAATCGGTTCAACGGTGGACGATCTTTTGCTCGGGGATTGGCGACTTGTAGTAGCATTAGTCTTGAATGATTCACTTCCCAAAGCCTCCTCAGAGATAACAGGGTGATCATCAAGCTTTACATCCTCGCTGTAGGCATTACTATCCAGTTCAAGAGTAGCCATGCTTGCCGAAAGGCCATCTTGCAACTTGATCATCCAGCGACGCAGTGAGTCATCATCCATTGTGCTGTTTCGAGCAAGAAGAAGCTGTTCACGTAAGGAAAGTAATAGTTTCCGCTTTTTGGCGATGGCAACTGTACGTGAGTTACAGTTTCGTTGACGGGCGAGCTGATCTAAAGTCTCAGAAACACTTTCTGCAACTTGCAAGACTGCGGGTGGGAGATCGACTAGCTTTGCGAGGGCTAGGCCATACCGGCGATCGGGGACAGGACCTTTGGCTATCTGATAGAGCATTGTCATTTTGGATGCATCTTCTGAGATGTTCGCCGCGAGGTGTAGGTTGATGACCCCACTGCGTTCAGAAATAATGCGAGCTAAATCATGGAAATGGGTCGCAAACCATACTAGAGTGTGACTCGCAAGAAGGGCCTCAGCAAGGGCAACAGCAATCGCGAGCCCATCGGAGGTACTTGTCCCACGACCCAATTCGTCGACGAGCACCATTCCCCGAGGTTGAATATTACGCAGGATGAATGCCATACCCCGCATTTGCGCCGCAAAAGTCGAAACATTGGCGTCGAGGTCGTCGCTGGTTGCGACACGCGCGAAGAGCTGGTGGACGATCGGGAATGAAGCGTATTGAGCTGGTACAAAGCAACCTATCTGGGCCATCACTGTCATAAGCGCTAGTGAGCGGATGTATGTTGATTTTCCGCTCATATTGCAACCGGTGATGATTTGAAACCGTGTCTGGGGTGTTGCATATGCATCATTGGGAATGAACTTGCTAGAGTGGATTCGCTCTCGAATTGGGTGCCGTCCAGCTTTAATGGCTAATCTGGCTGTCAATTCTGGGCGAATGTAGTCGTAGCTAGTTGCCAGCTGAGCAAAGGATGCCAACATGTCTAACATGGCGATTGCTTCGCTTACTCGGAACAACTCTGCAACCATAGTGCAAACCTCACGAAGGAGATCCTGAATTGTCTGGTCGCTCATGCTGATGACTTCATTGTGAGCATCTGTGATTTTTTGATTGAGCTTGACAAGATCCAGTGTTTGGCATTCGGTTCTGTTCTTCTTGCGGTAGACGTTGATGAATTCCTCGGGCAGTGCTTCGAAATGGTCACTCTGAATACATATATAATACTGGCGAGGCGTATCATATCTAAGATCAAGCGTCATATCATAACTTTCTTGGAGTTTGTCAGAACTAGAATGCTGCGAGACTTAGTGGAGCGCTTGCCTGCTAGCCTTTCCACGAGTTCCGTCGCATCTGCATTTGCTTCCTTGTAGGTTTGTCTGGCCACGTCGAGAAGACTGTTGACGCCTGCCTATACTGGGTCGGTTAGGCAATTTTATGGATTAATATGGCTTTGCAGGATAGAACTGACTTTCACACAGTAAGTTCTCTGGTTCCGAAGGTCTAGCGGCTTGCTTTGGTATGCCACGCTCTCGTTCAAGGTTTCTGCCATGAGCTGTTCAAGAGCACGATGCTTTGCCGGGGAACATAACTGATTTCATTAGCTGGGAGCGAGCTCAACGATCACAGGTACTGGACCTCGCAAATTTCAAGCAGAAGATCACTCTGTGCTGCACCCAATGCCTGATGTATATTTTTGATCGAAGAAATGTAGGACTTGAGCATAATCACCCTGTTGACTGACTGTTCCACATACTGAACAGTTTGCTTGGTTGGCACCAGGATGATCTAGATCGTTAGTAATGTATAAAATAGATTTATGGTTAAAAGAGTCAACGCACCGAAGTCAGGATCCGATCGGAATCAATGAATCCTCTCAGTGCTTGCCGAACAGATACAAACATATCTTCCTTGGTCGACAAGTCCTCGACCGCATTGTACCGCGCTGTGAGCTTGACCCGTTCCGTGGATGGTTGTAGGATACTTGAGCGTAACAATCTGGCACCCATTGGAGTAAGACACTCATTTAGTAGTCCGTACAAACTGTCTCGGGATTTCGTATTGAGGAGATTTTGGATCAGCTCGAGGGATACGACCGAAGCCAGGTCAATAGTCATAGATCCCTGTGACGGTTCAAACTTGATGCGGAGGGAATGGGAGACGAAAGCACGTTCAAGAGCCATTTCAACATACTTCAGAGCCTGTATAGTAGAAATAAGCACAGACACAATCCGTTTGGAAGAAAATTCAAAGGGAACATACCGCGGCAAAGCAACATGCGGCAAAGTAGTTGCTATTGAGAATCACTTTGAGAGAATCGACCTCGTCCCGGAATGCCAGCCGATCAAGGAACTCGTGACCTGCTTTGTCCGACCAGTATTTGCGATCAGCAAATGTGAAAATGGGATTAGGCAAGTTTTCTTGAAGAATATAGCAAAGTTTGGATTCCTTGGCTGTATTCATAAACAGTATCTCGTTGGGCTCAAAGACGCCGATCTTGGTGACCGTCTTTTCGTAGATCTGACTATCGCAAATCTGACAGAGAACAACTTCAGCTGTAGCCAAGTTGATAAAAGCCAAGCCCACGTTTGATGAGACACCTCGAGATTCACTGACAGCACATATGATGTCCTGGCCTGCAACGCTAGTCGCCGTTGCGGTGGGTCGAGCCGTGGGATGTCTGCTCGCAGATTTGGATGTCAATGGCACAAAGGACCCGGAAGAAGAGACCCGCGACATGATTCTCGATGATGGATGGGTAGAAGATGGCATGGTGTTGGCAAGTGAGATGGGGTGAATGGGGTGAATGGGGATGGAAGAAACTTGGAATTGCTTTGCGGCCTGCCCTGCCCTGCCTTGCCCACTTATTGCGACGACAACACACCGTCTTGCACGCTACACATTTTTTATCGCATCAAACACCTACGACAAGCTGAAATTTATATAATGTTGCTTCATATCACGATGCTTGATGTATTTTCATTTCTCTCGTTGCCTTGCGGCATATGTAATGGTTGAAGGGCTTGGCACTCTATGGATAGCAGCACGTGAACAGCGACGACGACCTCAGTACTTACTAGTAACAATTACCTAGTAAGTAGTTAGTATACTGTAAACCACATGGTCTCGTCTGTCGCCTCAGGTGTATGTAGTAAGCATTCTCCCACATCCCCTCACTTAGTTGGTTCCTCCAATTCGGAGAAGCTAGTCCTATGTATAACTTGCTTCTATCTCGGTTGCTTTCTCTTTCTTCATCCTTACCATTCTGTCTCCCCATTCTACATCCACCCACAATGGCATCAAAGACTATGAAAGCAGTACAAATCCAGGAATACAACCAGCCTTATTATGTTTCGGAGGTACCGGTTCCTTACCCCAAACCCCACCAGGTCTGGTGCGTATCACAGCGGCGGGCTTTTGCCACACCGATTTGATGGCATTGAATGGTGAATTCAACACCAAACTTCCATTCATTGGATCCCATGAGCCAGCAGGTATCATTGAAGAGGTTGGATCGAATGTGATGAATTTTCAGCGAGGCGAACGGGTAGGATGCATCAATTTCGATAGTGTTTGCGGTGAGTTAGTTGCCTTGGTCTACGTGAATGATGAGTCTCATCTGACATGGTTCGAATAATAGGGAAATGCGCAGACTGTCAATCGGGACTGCCTATATATTGTGATAATCCTTCAATGAAAGGCATCACGGTCGATGGTGCGTGGGCGGAGTATATGGTGGCGTAGGTTAGCCTTCCGACCGTGAGATAGTATATACGCTGATTGGACGTTATAGCGATGCCCGATTTGTCGTCAAACTCCCAGATGACATGGAATTCAAGGTAGTAGCACCCTTGATGTCCGCTGGTATCTCTATTTATGGAGGGATTCGGCGTGCCAACATTCCGGAGGGAGGCTCGATCGGAATAATAGGAATTGGAGGCTTGGGGCATATTGGCACCCAGCTTGCCAAATGCATGGTAGGATTCCATGAGTTATTCAAGTTTATCTTGGGGAGAAGACCAATGCTAAATGAGAATTTAGGGTTACACTGTCGCCGCAGTCGACGTCAAACAGCAAACACTGGAAGCTGTGGCTTCATATAAACATAGCCCAGATGCTTTAATTCTTGCAACTGATACGGTTGCGGAATCCCTTCTGAAAATTGATCAGATGACCTCGTCAAAGTACAGGGGATTGGATGCTACTGTATTAGCAACAGATCACCCATCTGCCTTCGAATCACCCATCTGCCTTCGATCTGGCTGCTGGACTCACACAGAAACATGGTACAATGGCTTTACTGGGTCAGCAAGAAAAGGGAATCACTATGTCATACCATAGTATAATTTACAAGGATATCACACTGGTTGGGTCTCTGGTCGCTGACACAGCTGCGGCTCAAGAATTGGCGACTATCTTTCACCAAAATAAACTTCACGTGGATATCAAAGAATGGAAATTGGAGGACGCAGAAAAGATGAGACAGTCATATTTATCTAAAGAGGGAATGGGGAAGAACGTGTTATCATGTAATTAACATGAGGGATATAGCTTGTCTATAAGCAAGCCGTTGCTTTGAAAAAGGCCTTGTCTATGGTTGATTAGGAGTTGTATATCTTTTCAGGTCTAGATAGGGGACTCAGAAAGTATCCCATGGGATGGCAAAAGGCCCTCACTAATCGTTTGCATTAATAAGGACCGGAGTGTGTCCAGATAGCTTACATTTCTTTTCCGGATGGGAGTTTTCAACCACCTCAACTATTCCAAGAGACGGTGAGAAGCGGGGAAAGATCAAGATGCACGGAGTACACAAACAGGGATCTTCACTTCAATAATGAAAATAATATTCATCGGACAGGGGTGCGTGATTGTATCACAAGAAGTACGTAAGGATTCGGCGATTGAGGTGGGTCGGCGACTGCATGGCCTAGCCGTGACCTGTTTCATGGTGATCAGAACATCAGCCCTGAATGTGACGTTATTTCGGCTTCTACCGCATAGACACGGCCTCCAAATAGCGGTGTCGAAGGTTCATTGATCGGTTACATCTTATCGCGGACCAAGACAAATTAGTTGTGGAGGTCTACGACTATTTCTATCGATGTACGTATCAGTCTGTGTTGACGATGGGTCGTAGTGTTTCTGGAAAGTCAATACTACTAAGGACAGAAGAAGCCTTATTTAGTAGCTATAAATTCCAGTATAAAATGATTTGTAGAGACTTAGAGGAAGTATTTAATGATATGCGTCTAATCTCGTCGCTAACTAATGGACTCAATTCATGGTAGTTACACCGGGTATAATGGGCAATCTCAAGCAATTGACGTGTGAAACTTCAAACAGCGCGGTCCAGCCACGGTAATTCATGACTTATGGTCAAGTTTTGGTCCTACTGGGCCTTGGGAACAGAGTGGGCCTGGGAAACAAAGCTTGCAGACCCGGTTGCTTCATTGAAGATGTTATAGCCATAGTCAGCGGCATTTGGTGGCGTATAAACTTGGGAACGGTTAGCCACTGATAAAATGCCCGGCAGACTGCGATACTAACGATGTAGAGAGACAGCAACGTGGTTGCTACTGGGGTTGTGGACTCGATGAAGACCTATGTCGTCTGAGATGTAGGTGACCTCATTCATTCCAAAGGTATTGGAGGATTTGATCTCAAGAGGCTTCTCTTCGCCGGACTCCTTATCTGGTGCATGATAGACTGTTTCGTTTAATTGGCCAGCCAAAACTTTCATGATGCAATGAGCATTGGCATGGTCGTGGATAGGGGAGCCCTTGCCCGGGTTCCATACGAGAAGAAGCTATATTCGGTTAGAATGTGCTCCTGCAATAACACAAGAATATCTATAGCAAAAGCGGGACTTACGATATTGGCCTTGTGATTTATGTTTTCAATGGCATTTCGGGTGTAGTTCTTGCTTGTGTCGTTATAAAAGTAGTCGATCCAGTCGCTGGGGTCCGAGACATATTTCTTCAATAAAGAAATCAAATGAGCCTCGTCAACTTCATCTGAAGAAATACCACCGGATTCCCCGAGGTGCTTCTTGATGTCCTGCACGAGCCCTTCGAGGTCGTATCGCTCCTTGAAGTGACGGTAAGAGGGTGAGAACCCCTTATCGACCGGGATGTTCGTAGACAAAGTTGTTGACAGCATTTTGCGGAAATTTGGAGAGGTGCTTCGAGGTGGTTGATTCTGGGAAGGATAAAGGGATGAAGTTAAATGAGACGACTTTATAAAAAAAATATCCAGGGGTTCAGAGTCCAGACCGCAATTGCGTGGCAGTCCCCGAGGTGGAATGACGTTGGGTCTTCGGTCGGCGATTGACCCACTGCGCCACTTCACTCCCATCCAATTTGAGTCGCCGAAGGACTTGGACTTGCAGAGGCCCTCCAGTTCATGCATATTTTTGACCAAGGTATGTAGACAATTGCAAAGGCCAAATAGCAGACTAAAATTGGGCCCGGAACCCTTTATTCAACAGATATTGTCTCACCTCTTTCAAAAGGTTGCTGAAAGGCTCATATTTATTGGGCGGGCGCTGGCATCTATATTGATTGGACATCTACTAGTACTAAAAGTACATTTGAAACCCAGTACTAATACAAAAATAAATGTACTACGTGGTTCACGGGAGCATGGAGAGAGACTAGAGTCCGGATCATTGGAAATCTGCAAACGAAATACCTGGATTGTTCTTTTATAAAAATTGTTGCCTTCTTAGCTGATGTCAAAATCCGGGATGGAAGTGAAGAAGGAATCGTTATAACAGGTCGGATCGACAAAGGCAGGGGCTATCGGCGGGAACAGCATATCCTGGCCTTCCGAGATTGCCGATGCTGGCCGTGTTGGTTGGTGATTCCGCTCTGTGTTACTTGGCGTTGAGTCGATTGGAAAGAATTTCCTGAGTGGTTCCGTACTCCATCGCTCCATCGAATCAGACAAGCCGTCCGCCGCAGAAACACGTAGGTGAGTGTAGGCAGCATCCGCAAGATTCCATATCCGCTTTGTACTTTTGAGACATCCGAGAACTAAAGTGACTCGATTATAATGGTGGTCAAAACATTCTTCAGTGTGCTTGATGGCGGTAGCGAGTTGTGTCATCCCACAGAGCGCCAGGGCAGGGATAACAAAGGGTGTGTGCTTGATTATATTCGGGCAGAGCGATATTGCATCTGATATTCTCCGGGAGGCCTCGGTTGCTTTGATACTGTGGATGGGACGATTAAGTGTCGACGCCAGGCTGCGTGCAGCAACCGGCCAGAAACGATCGTCTACCTGTGGCAGGACTGGTTGGAGATCGCTTCGGGGTAAATGCAACAGCATAGTCGCATATGAAATTGTGATATGGGCCTGGAACATCATCTCGTCGATATTGCCATATGAATCGACGATATCCAGCTTTTTAGGGGGCAGGTGGTTAACCCAGCTTACAAGCGCATTTTCAACGGCTTGGAGGTGATCGCGGTGATGGTCGCGGAGCTTGTTCAAGACAAGAGCTCGACAGAGAATTGTTGTTGCTTCGATACGGTAGCTGAAAGACGAAAATACCGTCTCTTCAGGGGCAAATATTCTCCGCTTGAAGTCTAAAATCTTTCGGGGTGCCGGAATGTCGCAGGCGCCGGTATATGCCGATTCCTCGCAGGGCAAACCTACCTCCGGTGCCATGGTGCTGCATAAAAATGTATTGCCTTTGAAAGGCGCAGCCAGGAGGATGTCCGTAATATACAGCTCCCACCATGTGCGACGCATGCTTTCAGCTTCGATGGAATTTTCGGGTTGATTAGAGGTGGCGAATTCGCGACGATTCATACCAAGCTCCAGTGCAAGCTCAACACTGTGTGAGAAGGCATTCTGCGCCTCTTGCCATTCGCCGCGAGCATAAATTGTAATCGAGTAGATCAACCATGCCTGAACCATGCAAGAAGACCGCGTTGGGTTGCAGGTCAGTTCTGCAATGGTCTTGTCCTTGTACTGTTGGGTTGGACTTGAGGAAGCATAGTGAGAGCCGGCAAAATTCACCACGAGCTGGAGGAATTCTGGATACTGTCGATCATGATAAGCGGCACTTGGGACAAGAATAGGATGGGCGACGTGGAAATTCTCGTAGAAAAGACGCAGAAAGCGGTCATCGTAAAACCAGGGATCATGAGATGATTCTAAATGCTGTTGACTTAGTGGATTTCTTGGGGTGATCATAGACCAAGACACCTGACCAGCAGGGATGCCTGTGTCGTCGGGGATTCGTTGCGGTGATGTGCTGTCCGGGGTATTGGGTTGCTGTTCGGGGGCAGCGACCGGTAGGACAAGGGAGGCCTGGTATCCGATTGGTATGGATTTCATCAACATGACTGAGGCATGGCGCATACTGACATTCAACTCATCCGGATGGTTGGAAGGGAGCCGGCGATTGGCGTCGCGAGTTTTCCTGCGACCCCCGCGCCGCGAGGGAAGATATTGGCAGTACTCGCCATTCTGCAAGCACCTTGAGCACGAGGGCTTGAGCGCATCACATTTCAGGTGCTGTTTGCGACACTCAGTGCATGCGAGCGACGCCAGGCCGCTCTGCTTGGTTGATCTGGGCGTCATGGTCACTGCAATGAGGACGGCGATGGAAACGGAGGGTTACTACCCGTTCATTTCCCGTGGTTAAAAAGGCCGACTCCCACTCCGGTCAATATGAGGGCTGGAAATATTGGTTTTATCGCTCTAATAGATATATTTGTTTCCCATTTGCATCCTAAGAGCCTAACTTTTTTTTGCTCTTTCTTTTGTTCGATTAATTCTTGTCTTAAAAAAGTTTTTGGCTCCACTTAACGAACTATTACGTCGTGTCATTCGGCGATTGAAATGACCGAGATGGATGGCCACGTGTAACTTGAAAGATAGTTACTCGTACTTGGATCAAGTCGGTATTCTGTAATTGTGTCTGTGCCATTATTCTTGTTCCTAAAATTAGGCAGAGGTACCAGGTGGTGTTTGCGGTCGCCCGAGGTCCTTCAGACAAGGGGCGACGAAGATGTCGCCCTTGACGATGCCACGGCCGGTGTGGTAAGTTACCAGTACCCAAAATATCACAACGATCACTGAAAATATCTTTTCCACGTCAGTATAATTAGTTGTCTTCTATTCTGTACAATATTTTTCATATGGGTTTGTCTAACTTACCGTTCCAAGCACCGAAAAGAAGCGCGATGGAAGCTCCTGGCCGATCGTACAAGTGCAAGTAGTGAAGACACCCAGAGGGAAAGTTAAAGCCCACCAGCCCATATTAAATGGAAACTTCCTCGATTTCAACAGGGTCAGAACCGCAAATGTAAGCCAGACTAGGCCAAATG